ACGCCCTCGACGGCGGTTTGGGCGCGCTGCTCAGCGGGAAGGCGCTCTCCGCCGGACCAGGTGGGTGCGCGAACGGCCGCTCCACGCTAACGATTACACAGACACACAAAAAAACGTTGTCACACCCAAAGACCAGACGCGTGTTTCTCTATGTATATCGATAAGCTGAATCCGAATCTGAAGCCACAATTGCGCCACCACCATCCAGTTTTATAAACAAAAAAAATTGCGAAAAATACGGTTTTGGTGTCTTGTAGCATTACTCTACAAACGCATAAACAAATAAAATTGGAGAGTGGTGGCGCAATTCTGGCTTCAGATTCGTATACAGTGCGTCGACATACATAGAGAAACATTTGTGAAGTATTTGGGTCTGACAACGTTTTTGTATGTGTGCCTGTGTTATTGGAGAACGGGAGGACGGACCAGCAGTTACACCATTCTAGGGTACGGAGGATATCGATGATGATAATTTTTTGCAATTAATAAGCGGCGGAAAAATTCACTAAAATTTCACAAAAGAAAGTAACATAGCCGGCCTGGATAGCCCTGGTCGCTAAGGCAGCAGGGCCATATCTGCTTTGGCTTGAATGGTCGCGGGTTGAAATCTAGCCTTGGGTACAGATGTTTGTGAATGTTGTTATTATGTGTTCTCCCATCGCTACAACAAAGTTATAAGTGACAGTGACCGCTATATAACCGAGTAGTTGAAAAGCGACCTTAAACAAAAAGAAATGATACATAATATGTGACATTTGCCCCGATTGTAAGGGAATCCATCACGCATTGTTCGGCGGGTAACGTTCAGTTAGTCACTTCTACAGTCTATGAAGTTCCATCTTCTCAACATACATACATTTGGTATTGGTACGTAAATATTTAAAATATTTTAATATTTTTTTTAATCGCACAGATTATAATTTATTTTAATACTACTTTTAACATGTTTTCGATATTTCAATATTATTAGGGAGCCCAATGTTTTGGGGAACTTAAAATATTAATCTGACCATGAGGCTAAGCGATCTAAGTGCCAAGAAACATTTCGGCGGGAAAATGAGAAAGTAAGTACAATATCAGTACAATTCTGAATATAGCAGCATTATCTCTGCGCGTCTTCTACAACAGAAAGGAACTGACAAATTACATGCTTCTTAAAGTTCTCTTGCGGCGTTGCCATGTATAGCTCTGCGAGTAAAACATGAAAATCTCGAATTCTGGCACTTAAGTCACCTGCTCCTCTGCAATTGTCTCTGCGCTCGACTGTCAGGGTGACGCTGCGGCTTAGTCTGGTTTAGCAGACTTTTCGCAATTTTTTTGTGTTCCGTCCTTCATCAGGGCTAAAATTCTTCACAGCGTCACCTAGATGTCTGAAATCTATCATAGGACTCCGACTGCCGGAGTCTACAACTTCGTCTCCAATGACTGACCTTTGACAGGAACATACTAAAGTTCTACATTCTACATGTTGATACTGACAATTATGAAAATTTGCACTTTGAATAAACATAATACGTTTTCTTGCTACATCAAACTTAACAGTCACGGTGAATTTCGATAGGAATGGAAATATATTTCTGCCAATTCCAACTTATTTTTCCGACGAAAATGAAATAACGACGTCACTTCTTTCCTTTTGAGATCTATTGCTTGAGTATATAATGCCTGTAGATGATATTCGTGAAGATAGAAAACGTTCAGCTCTTGCAAGTGATATTTGGTGTTCGTTAACTTATCTTAATTGTCTACATTGTATGTAAACAAATTTTCATAATTGTAGTAATGCGTTAAATCAGTGTAGCAAATCTGTCAATTGTAAGATCGTACAGGATATTTGCATTCCTAATCAAAATATTCTTTATCAACATTTTCACTTCTTCAACCCTGGAAGAAATTTGAAGTCAACAAGTGCCAAAAGTTCTTTTTAGTTGTTTTCCTTGAGAAGTCGCATACAAGTACAAATGTAAATATGTTATTTTAATTTAATGTGCCAGTGTTAATGAATCATCATTAAATACGGACAACTTATAATGCTGAGGACATTTACTGGTGTACATTGAACATTAAAATATTGCTTTAGTATGTACTTGAATCAGTGACAACTCACATTAAAAATAATTGCAATTGCTCTACTGCAGTCTTCTTTCCCTATTGCACTGTGAGAGTATTCGATTCCTGGAGAATGCGCCTCATTCACAATGCCCCAAATAAACATTAAAAACTTTTCTTATTCAGCTCTCGTTGTTAGCCGGGCACACAACAGATGAAAAATGATTTGCATCGTGATTATCACATTACAGACACCTTCGTCAGTGCATTTCTCATCTGCTCACCCTCCACTTCAAGGTGTGAGGTATTGCAATAATTAGGCCACAGACTTTCTGCATTTCGTACGTGAAACCCTTTGCCGCGACGCGTTGTATATGACTCATATATTCTATCTGCCATCTTTTCAAAGAGAATACCAAACGTATTATATTTAATATCTCCGGATTGATCTTGATTACATCCCAATCTGAGCGCTCGTTAGAGAGATATAGACTGAAAACATATGTCCTGAGTATACTCTCTCCAAAGTAGAATGTTTATATCTGTTGTGTTTCGTGAGATACACACTAAGGTGATAAAAGACATAGGATAACAAAATGAAAATATACATATGGCGGTAGTTTCACGTACAAAAGGTATAAAAGAGCAGTGCATTGACAGAGCTTTCATTTGTTTTCCTGTAATTCATATAAAAGGTTTCTGTCGTGATTATGGCCGCACGAAGGGAATTAAAAGACTTTGAACGCGGAATGGTAGTTGGAACTAGGCGCATTGGACATTCCATTTCGGAAATCATTAGGAAATTCAATATTCCGAGATCCACAGTGACAAGAGTGTGCCGAAAATACCTAATTTCAGGCTAAATTTCTCACCATGGACAAAGCAGTGGCCGACACCCTTCACTTAATGGCCGAGAGCAGCGGCGTTTGCGCAGTTCTCGGAGCTAACAGACAAACAGCACTTCCTGAAATAACAGGAGAATCAATGTGAGACGCACGACGAACGTATTCATTAGGACAATGCGGCGAAATTTGGATTTAATAAGCTAAGACAGCAGAAGACCGACACGAGTGCCTTTGCTAACAGCACGGCATTGCTTACAGCGCCTCTCCCGGGTTCGTGACCGTATCAGTTGGACCCTAGGCGAATGGAAAACCGTGGCTTGGTCAGATAATTCCCGATTTCCGTAGGTAAGAGCTGATGGTAGGGTTCGAGTGTGGCGAAGAACCAATTTGTCAACAAGGCAATACGCAAGCTGGTGGTGGCTCCATAATGGTGTGGGCTCTTTTTTCATGGAACGGACTGGGTCCTCTGGTCCAACTGAACCGATCATTGTCTGGAAATTGATTTGTTCAGCTACATGAAGACAATTTGCAGCCATTCATTAACTTCATTATCCCAAACAACGGTAGATTTTCTTTACTGATGACAATGCGTAATGTCACCTGGCCATTTGAAGAACATTCTGGGCAATATGAGTGAATGACTCGACCACCTAAATATACAGACATCAATTCTATCGAACATATATGAGACAGAATTGAGTGCACAGAATGTTTTGCACAAAATCCAGAATCTGCAAGAATTATGGACTATAGAGGCCGCATAGCTCAATATTTCTGCAGGTGGTCTTCCAACCACTTGTTGAGTCTACGTCACGTCGAGTTGCTACACTTCGCCAGACAAAGGGATGTCGGAAACGATATTAGGAGGCATCCCATGACTTTTAACACCACAATGTAAGTATTAAGTCGATCTCATTTAATATTTTTTTCTTACGGGTACAGCTATGTTGTTTATAATAACTAAATCTGAGCACACATCTCGGAAACAGCTAAGAGATCAGCAACCAGTCAATTTTAATACACCGCTGGCGGAGAGTTGCATCCTCCGTGGAGAACAGGCAACCCTTCTATATTTCCAGTTATGGTTATTCCCGAAATGTGAAAGCCGATCACAAGAGTGGTATGATAAGATCCTAAGTTTGGCCATTATCTCTGCAAGTCTCGAACAGAATTAAAATCAGTTGTACCGGTATTACAGCAATTTAAATAGTGACTTCTGACTGATGTGACTCATTTACTCAAACGGGAGCTGCGTTACTACTTAATATTTATGATTGAAACTCCTTATTTGATAACCGCATCACACGCCCCGCGTGACCATCTGTCTAGGAGTGATACTCAGTCAAAAATTGCCATCATCGCTTATAGTATATACATACTATATATTAATTGATTGTGCCTCTTGTCTCCACAACTATTTTGAACGCTTCCCGATCATACTCAGGTCTGTCAATATTTTTTTTTAATTTTATAGTCTGGATAGTATGGATTTACTGCTTAGGTAACTTATTTCTGTCCCAATTTGTGCTGCAATCATGAATAAAACTCGGTATAACGGAATCTCGATATACAGATTGATTCATTTCGAACGTCAAAACATCAATAAGCTCTGAACAATATGATAAAAAATTTGTAATTTCACTGTGATATCAGAACATCATTATTGCACAGTATCCTGATTTTCTGAAACGTCCGAGAACGTGTTTTATGATTGATTGATTTACCGTTAAACCAGCAATTAAAAATTGGATGTGACGAGTAAGGTAAACATGTAATCTGTGCACGTTTCATTAAGCTCCACAATCCCTAACTTCACCCTTACATTACATTAATTTAAATTATGAATCAATGTGGCGACGAGCGATTTCTGGAAAATTTTATAAGATATATTGGCTCCCATGTAACAAAAATTATTAAATTTACTAGTAATTAAAATAAATTGAGTCGGCGTCGTTGGCCGAGTTGCTTAACTACACTCCGTGAAATCACGGAAGTTAAGCAATTTGAGAAACCGCGGATTCGTAGGTGGGTGCGAGTAAAAGCCCATTTCGCTGCAGTTGATCGTCCCGAAGCAGGAGGCGTGCGTGAGCGCGCCTGAGCGTCCGTGTGCATTCCTTCGCAGGGAGCGCTGCCTCGGCGTCGGCGTCGGGCTTGGAGCTGTACGAGTCGGAGAGCGGCCAGGAGCTGACGCTGTCTCCGCAGGCGTACGCCGCGTCGGCGGAGGCCTTCATCAACGACAACTCGGATAGTCTAGGTGTGAACGGCGACGCCGAAGCTGCAGGTACGCTGCTGGCGAGCGCGACGTGCACCTTCCACGCTGCAAAGCGGCAAATGCCTAGTACTCCGAGAGGTGGTATCCCAAAACGTTCCCTACATCGCTACGTTGTCAGGCCAAGTGTTGCCTACGCTTTATAGCAGAAACTTAAATTCGACGTTGGCCTGCGACATCGATTGTAGTATTTGAAAAACTTAGAATCATACGGTCCCATTCATATTTTGGCTATTGAGATTCTTGTAGATATCTATATAGCCTTCAACTATTCATTCCTTAAAGCTGTAATATTCTCTACGAGGCAGACGAACCAACGACATTATTTTTGGATTACCGTACCGATACCGCGTGTATGAATTATAAGTTGAGGAATGGCAGACATTTTTGTGAATATCTCTCGCATTATAAAGGCGACTAACAAACGCGGCTCGCAAGTAAGCGTCGTTCCGCTCATTATCACGTAAATACGCCGCTAACAAATACACAAAATAAAAGTATATTTCTGATATTTTTATTCACGCATGGAGTAAAAGCACCAGTAGTGCACACAGTTAAGACTATTTTCTTTGTTTTATCAAAATTCTTCTTCTAAACAACGACATTCGTTAACTCAATGGGCCATTATTCCACCTATTTTTAATTACATCCCTTGCTTAATATAGCAATTTTTTATATCTTTTGTTTTTATTAATTGATTTACATATTCCCATTTTATTTCGGAAGTGGCCACTTATAAATTTCAAAATTTGAGTAGTGGTCAGATACTCGACTCAGTAATGGCCAATCGATATTATATCCCATGACTGGCTGAGTTTAGCCATGAGCCAGCATTGCTGCTGTCTCCGTCATTATATGTTACAGAGATGTTAGTCACCACTATATAGCAACTATATTGCAAGTGTCAAAAATGCGCCCCCGTGGGGGCTCGAACCCTTGGACCTCCCTCTGAGTCGCGGGGGAACAACTCGAATTCAGGCGCTGTCTGGAGGAGAGTTGTAGTGGCCAGCTGCTCTGATCGGCAGTTTTCTATGGTTTCTCCGATCAATACCCTAACAAATGCGCCACGGACCGCGCACGATATTTCCTTTCCTTCATTTTCCTTGCCCGTTCCTCTCTCTTTACGCACATACACACACTTACTTTTACATGCAGTACACTATTGCACTAAGTCTCGCGGCTTAGCTCATTGGTCAGCGTGCTCGCATTCCATGACGTGACCTCGGGTTCGATTCCATTTCAGACAAGATTATAGTGTGCGGTTTCATTGCAATGTCCCAGTATATGTTGCTGTGTGACGATGAGAAACTTTACGTCTCAGGTTGAGAAGACCAGTATACGGCATGGGGATGTCTTTGTGCTAACCACACGCATCCCCTTAACCCATGGCCACGAGACCGGGACGTCTGGTAGGTCCGTACATGATCCGGCGCGCCAAGTGCAAACACTATTACGGGTTACTTGTCTGGAGACCGTCGCGATGGGAGCTTACAGCTTGCCCGGCTGGGACTGTGCCTCACTGGAAGGAGATATCTGAGGGGGAAAGAGATACTTGTCGTTTGGTGCCTGAATTCACGGTCCAGCGGGCAAAGAAGCACCGCCGCCTCTCACGATAAAACAATCACTACACTAACGGGACTAATGACTACAGCAGTTGACGTGTCCGGAAACTTCAACTAATCAATCTACCCCTGAACGGGTGAGACCAAAGACGTCCCAAAAATTACCGGCTGATGTTTTTAGATTATTAACTATAAAATAAGAAGGAAAATAAATAATCTTTGACCTAATCCTCACCTTCAGAAGGTATACACTCCACGTTCTGCAAGATTGAAGTGTGTGATAAGCATTAATTTTTTACCAGTGGTCACCACTGGTATCGTCTTTACCGTTCTACCAGAGATGACACGAGCAGGCAATATCAGGTCGAACATGCATTTCATGTAAAAGGAGCATTTTTCGTAATGATAAAAGACTGATCAATTCTGATTATGATAATTTTGAAACTACTGAGGCAGCTATAGTTGGCAATGAGAGGCTGTTCTGCAAACACCAAACAATGATGAAATTGTTTCCATTTATATGTGCAAACGAAACATGACAAAATTATTCATTTTGATATTGATGTATTACACTACACTCTCACGCAAAAGTAGGGAGTAAATCTACTTCATACAAGTGTCAACCCACTCCAGGGCCTCTACCTCACTTGTGGGGTTAGTTGCTAAATCTTGATGACTTTTAATGACTCTACAATTTCGACATCCAAATATTCACAAAAAAACAGAAAGACTAATAAATGTAGTTTATATTGTTAGAATCAAACATGTCAAAACTAAAACGAAGTAGCGTAAAAAAAAAAAAAACTATCACCTGGTGCCAACAAGCCTCGGTCTCCCCTACTGGAAGGTATAAAGTGTCACCTTTTGCTGAGGTAAGAAATCACTTGACGCAAGTGTATGCCAATTTGCCTTCGTCTGGGGCTCTTTTCATTTTGCAGTCATTGAGTAATTCGAGCAGTTGACTGAAACCATTAACAGTGACTGAAACCAAAAAGCTCTAAGGAATGTAATTTACATTGATAGTAAGTTACCTAATCTCCAAATGGGAGACCAATTTCTTGAACATCGATGAAAATTTCACAATTTTATAAATCAAAGTTAAATATAATCTGTAGAATACCAAAAGTCTTTTGTGTTCTTTGAAAGTCGAGTCACTAAAGATTAACTTAATAAAGTGAAATAATACCGATAAAATTAACACAAAATTGTTATTTTAAAATCTTCTTAAAATAATCTTTAAAATTTATAATCTGTAAACATTTTAATATAACATTCTTAAGAAAGTTTGTTTCTGACCTTTTGAATAAATTTTTAATTCGAACAAATTTTAATGTGAAATATTTAATCTAAACTTCTATTTAAAGTTGTCAAAATCAAATATCTGTAATTTTTTATTAATTAAATATTTATAACTATTTCGTAATATAGTTCATAACAATATCCAACTTCATCAGGAAATGTATGCAGGTATGCACCATAGAAGAAAGATCTACAAGACCGTTTACAGTTGTTTTTATTTCCGAAACAATATATTTTCAAAAGGATAATTTTTAAATTACCTTCTACTATAAGAGTTAAAATAATTGCACCTCTGTCTAATAATTGTTCAATTATTGACAGATTGCTCAGTTAGACAATTTATTAAAACAAAACAATTAGTAAAAGTAACGTGGATCTAACTCATAATTGACAGGTCTCTAATTGTCTCTAGTCCAGTTTCTAATTGACCACAAACGTATCATGACCAATCATATTGCAGGTAAGATAATTTTTCAAACAGATTCGTGAGACCATGACTCCATGTGTGATAATCAAATGCCACTCCCCCTTGTTATTATTTATGGTGCTTCAAATTTAATGATTTTTTAATAGTCAGAACAATATGTAACGTGCTAACACCTTGGATATCTATCTATTTAGTTATTTACGTCAAAAACAGTTAAAAGCTGTGTGGCGTACTCTGGAGTGAAGAGCAATCTCTGTACGTTTTCTTGAGCTTTGGGATTCATATACATATTATGTTGAATTATGAATGCAGGTAGCAACGAGCGTTTTGGTAAGAATTGTTCAGGAAGTATTCGCTCCCGCCTTGAAAAAACAATTTGAAGAGACAAACTAGCTACAGATTTCGGCAATTATCCTTTCTCGTGCGCGTAGTGAAGGAAACTGCGTACTTTTGCGATAATATGAATAACTGAGCTCATGAAAACGTGCACAGACAGTGACGTTACGTATATGTCTAGAAGCAAAACAACACAGCTCGACTGAGCGTGCGTATTTACATCGCGTTCGACACGCCAATATAGCTGCCAAACGCCGGTGACCAGGCACGGCCATCTGGGCCATTCCTGGGCCTAATGAGCGGGTCCTGAGCTCGCGCTCAGTGAGCTCGTGCGTTCAAGTGGCTATGAGCGTGCGTGCGTGCGTAGGAGCGTGTCCGGACGTGAACACCAAGGGCTGCAGCGCAGAGACAGCGCGCCTCGCAGTGAAAAAGCCGCGCCCCAAGGCGGCCTCCCCGAACCGGCAGGGCCCGCAGCAATGCCAGGTACCACGCCCCCTCCCTCGAGCTCATTCAAGGCTCATGGACATCTTCGATTAAAAAAAGCATTTTTTTCAAATTTATTGACAGTTCGCTTATATGTTGGAGCGACAGTGTTAATGTGCGTTTTTATTTGAGGCGTCCAGGAGTAGATAATGATATCTCACATTTTGAGAGAAATTAAGTTGTTGGACTTTTATGAAAGAACGGGTGCATCTCTCTCTACTCAAGATTTCAAAAATTTAAGAACGGTCAATAAAAAACAAAAGTACTCTATGCTCAAGCGCAGCTCGTTTCGTGTAATCATGTAATCACATTGCATTGGAAATGGATATGTCAGATAACATTATTTACACCTGAACACCTCATTTATTAATTATAATGTTAATAAAATTTAACATGAGAGCTTATTTAGCATTAGGTATAAATTAAATTATTTTTACCTTGTAAGTCGACACCTCATCTAATGTATTGCATTTACAATAGTAATTACTGAATTACATTATAATTAATCCATAGCATTCTCTTTAATGAAGACTTCCCGCGGTTATAGGCATTTACAACCTGAAGGGGTAAGGCGTGAATTCCAGCATTTAGACATACTTGGAACTTTTTTACACTTTCCTTTACATTTAAACATTGCACTATGGACATGCACATTTACAATTACACTTTATATATTACTGATTATTCAGTCATCATGTATTGGGTTTAACAGCGCCCACGACTTTCAACTAATGAATACCGTAAATTAAATAATATATAAAATTATATTTATAACATATGCTGGCATAAATGCCCCTGCAGTTAGATCTCAGCCCAATTCAACATCTCGAAACCTCACCTGAGGGTAGAAGGTGAACTGCCTCTTAAAATAGATACAATTGTAACCAAACAAAGAAACTAATGGAAGATTGGTATCGAATTTCATTTTTGAAAGGGATCAAACAAATTTTCAGGATTTTGAGGATATGTGCCTTGAACCCCTTGAAAGAGGTCTCGCTGCAGGAGTGGTGGGTGTCCGTAGGTGTGCGGCAAGGTGTTCGGCAACGCATCGGCGCTCGCCAAGCACAAGCTGACCCACAGCGACGAACGGAAGTACGTGTGTGGAGTGTGCGGGAAGGCGTTCAAGAGACAGGACCATTTGTGAGTCTCATAATAGTTCTGCTTTTTACTTAAGATAAATGTGTAAATATCCATGCATGCATTGGCCTTAAATGTCGTATGTGTTGCACGAGTTTTCATGTATTGTCTAAAAATAAGGAGCGATCTCAGGGTGTTATGGTTAAATAAGGTCCAATGATGTTTAGGTATCCGTAATATTTTACTAGCATTTAGAAAATCGGGGGACATTTAGCCGCTAGTAGTTCTTTTGTGAAACACCAGCCTCGCCGCCTCTGCCAACTGCCGATAACACAAACCTGCAAAATAGTTCTTTTTTAATTGCTTGTCGATAATGGTCAGATGGCTAACCAAATATTCTTTTTTTGAATTTGAATTTTAAATGTTTTTTACTTCGTAAAGTTTCTTTACAATGTAGACTGAAATGTTTACTTTTATAGGAAATTTCACATTTTAAACGTAATTTATTATGTCTGAAACCCTCTATTCTAAATTTCTTCAAGAGCATTGAAAAACTCTACAAAGAATTTTCTCCTCTTCATCGAACGTGAATGTTGCATTAATTGACGATGGTACACAAGTTTCCGACCATTCTTGTTTGCCGCAGGAAAGAAGTGATGAATTATTTTGTAAATGTAGAATATAAGACATCAATAAGAAAAGCAAAGATGATGTTTTTAGTAAAATCAAGAAAGAATTAGATGAAGTGTGTTACATTTACATTTTAATGCTAATTACAAAATTATCAGAGGCGCGCCAACATTCCATGACCCTCAAAAACAGAAGATGAATCAAGAAAAACAACTTCAGAAAAACAACTCGTTCACACGTACTACTCACACACCTCAGAAAAGCCAAATACACCCAATCGAACAAGAGCGTAATGAACGTTCTTTTTAGATCCAAATATTGGTGTCATTGTCGGCACATATGTCGCATCATTTTTAATGTTTGCAATTCGCGAAAATTCTCAGAGTTCAAAAAAAATTAGACCTGTGCCATTTTTCACTGGCTGAAGGTCGACGAATGATGTCGGAACAATACTTCCTGGTGCATCTACTGGTATATCTTGCTAAGAGGGAATACAGAAGAATTTTTTAAATTAAGTCTTTGAATAAGATGATGTAGTTACTGAACATTGACAGCCATTTCAGTGCTTTAATTATTGAGCTTGTTAAGATCGATCATGGAATATCAATCTTGCAGAAAATCGTCTGAAAGATTTAACTGCTATCGTTGACCACAGACAGACAGACAGATGATTTGCAGACAATCGATTTTTCGTTATCATATAAACCTTTGAATCAGACTCCATATCGTGTTAGAGAGTGTACTTTGTTACATGTTTAAGAACAAGATTTATCCAATTTTTCATTACCAAGGACCGCCAATAAGGGTTTTAAATCGAAAATTTGCTGATTTATGGCACACGATTAAAATACTTCCTCTTCTTATGTAATAAGGCGAGAAAGTAAAATGAAGTGTGTACAATCGGTACATGGTTCGCAGAAACTTATATTTGGGTTGTTAGAGCAGATATGATTTTATTCTCATGAAATATTTCGTTAAACAGAAACATCCCAGGCCAATGTAAACGTCTCATGTGAAATTAACACCAAGAAAAGATTTTTGCCTTCGTTGGAAATGGCTTCTTTACGGATGTTTTGTTTTTGATCGAATATCGGACAACAAATAGACGAATACCATACCAGCATTCTGGAAATTTCAATACCTATGTTTTGCGACATATATGTAAATTTTTGGAATAAGATACCTAAAATATAATGTTGCGAGAGCTATTGGACTATCCTGGCTTCATGAAACATGCTCTTGGCCAATGAAACAGTACGAAACGCTAATTTAATTTATTTTGTCAAAAAATCAGTAAAATATGTACACGACGTATAGGGAAAAGTACAATCTGCACACGTTTTCTTGAGCATTGTAATCCCTTCCCCATCATTTAAACTTAAATAGTTGAATGATGAATAAAAGTATCAACAAAGCGAGGTTAGTATCATCTAAAAATAGGGATTTTCACTTCCGGTTTACAGAAAACTTATTTGCATATAAACAAACTTCAGATTTCAGATTTTAGTATTCCTAACAAAATTGTCGCCCATACCCTCTAGTCCTCACCCAACTAAAAAAAGGAGAGCTCAACAAAATGTCCGCATAGTGAAGCTACATTTTTTCACATGAACTTCCCAGAATAAGCAAGTTTTGAATAATGCAAACGCTGACTAATCACAGTGACCCCGCTGGACCAAAGTAGTTGTTTAAACTTAATTTTATATTAATAAATAGTAAATTTTGTTTATATTACATTCTTAAATTGTAAGAGTTAAGAGTTCATGTTTTATTATAATTTGTATACATTACTGCTTGAACAGCTTAGTGTCTCTTACGACCTTATTTCGACCTTCAATTAGAAATGTTTGATAAAATCTCATAGTGCATATCCGGCATCAACTGCTTAACATTTTCAATAAAAAAACTGAATAATAAATTTCTTGAATCGGTAATTTTATTTAAGACAGTGAGATCAACGAATCTATTCTAGGGCCTATAGGCCTACGACTTAGGCCTATTAACAAATGTCAACAAATTGTACCTTTCCTCCATTCGCCACATAAAGTAACTTTTTTATGTAAGCACAAATGCCACGGAAGTCTCTTTTAACAGCTTCTCAAAGGTGCGTCTATATTAAAAACGAAACAAATTCTGAAATTGAAATCACAAAGCACCAGAATCATACGACAAATATGGTTAGCTCGTTGTGATTTTCATTTACAGCAAAACTTATTTTACTGAAAAAATGTCTTTCCTGCGCAAATTAATAAAAACTCAAATAAAACAATTATCACTCCTTGAATTTCACAAGATTCAAGAACAAATTGATGTCGAATATTAGTGGCACCAAGACGTTTTGAAAACAAGAAAACGTTGCACATACAAGTTGTGTCTGCAAGAAATACGAAGCTGTGACAGGAACGAAATTAAAACGGTCAACACTCGTTGCTTTGCCGGCATTTCACTTTCCAGTAATTTGTCGCAAGTACTTCTCTGAAGGCTGCGTAATTTATGAGTGAAGATGAACATATCAGAAACACTCCCCCATAAATAGAGAGATAGAGGCACTATATGAAGTACAAATTCGTGCAAAACTGTCACGAATCAGGAACCGACTGTAGCTGGGCATCCTGGCTGACAACATATGTTTCCAACTACTCTTCCTCTATTTTTTTCGTTACAATACACAGCTTTTAAATACTTCAAATTTCCAAGATGCGTTAGTATAAATATTTACAAAGCGAGATGATGTATTCAGAAATTAAGTCATAAATACAAAACACACACATTCACTCGTGCACACATATATTACTATAGAATATTTGTTTTTCAAAACAAAAAATAATCAACATTTACGCTCTTTATACGCGTGTTTTCTGTTTTCCTCAAAGTAAATATCACTTTGTTAGTGACACGTGAGAGCACGGCCGCAAACGAAAACATTACGGGCAAGTGCTTAAAAATAAAACTTTAATGCTAAAGAGAACCGCAATAGAAACACTGGCTTGGTAATGATGTCGAGATTTTTGCAGTTCTATTCTAACGACCGCTGATATCGCTCAAGCGAATCAGCACAGCACGCGCAAGCTCCTGGATTCTAGAGCCCAGAACTAAATGTCGCACGACCCCAATCAGCAGCCCCAATCCCTTTTTGATGCTCCCACTGCGCTGAGACGTGTTTGCGTTCCGCGCCGCGCGCCTGCATAGGAACGGCCACATGCTGACCCATCGCAACAAGAAGCCCTACGAGTGTAAGGCCGAGGGCTGCGGCAAGTCGTACTGCGACGCACGCTCTCTTCGGCGGCATACCGAGAACCACCACGCCACGGGCGCCGGCGCCGG